AGTGTGGCGCAGGCGTGAGTGGAGGACGCCAAAGAGAGTTTGCGGTGGAGTGGTGGTGGCGCGCCCGCGGCGCGGGTGAGGGGGGACCGCCGCCCGCCCGCCCGCCCGCCTGGCGACGGGGCCAACCGACTTTGAATGAAATCAAGTCGGAAAGTGGAGCGCTCCCACCGTCCGGCGGTGTGGCGTCGTCCGCCCCCAGCCCAGCCCCGCGGGCCGCACCGCAGCAGGCTGGCTCGCTTTGTCTTCTGGAAGAGGAGCAGAGAAGGATGCGATGTGATGTGGGCGCGATTTGCTTGCCATTAGCATTTTGCACACGTCGAAGGAGTGATGCGGCGAGGACGTTGGCGTGGCGGCATCAAGCGACAGAGAGAGAGGGAGAGAGACGGATGTGTTGACACTGACGCTCCCTCTTCCTCACTCGTTTGAAGTGGAGGCGTCGGAGAAGAGAGCTTCTTTTGGTTGTGCTGCTCGCGACAACGTCAGAGCTCCGCGTATTCCGAGGAGACGTCGCTCATCCCGTCCAGCCGCGAGGGATACGCTTCATTGGCCGAACTAATCCGCGACGGAAAGCGCCGCCGCCGCGCTTCGCCGCGAGACGTCGGCGTCGCGGCACGGGGAAACTCCATACGGCGGCGTCACGAAAAACTGCTCCACCTCACTGGCGTCAGCAATGACGCCTTTTGTCCGCGCGGGGCGCGGAGGTGGAGGACCCCCCCTCGTGGACCTCATGGGATGCTGTGCTCCGCGCCGTGAGAGATTTCCTCCTCTCCATCTTTCTCGCTCGCTCGCAGCCGCCGCCTGCCTTCGCCGTCGTCGTCGTGAGAGATTCTTCTCCTCCTGCGCGCTTCATGAACTCCTCCAGGGAGGGCCGTGATCGCGCGCGGAGAGGTACATTCCAATGAGTCACACAGTCCTCTCCTCTCGGAATACCGGCCGGGGCACACAGGCGCACAGGCACAGGCACAGGAGGGCACCGCCGCCGTGCCGTCGCTGGCCGCCGCGCCACGCCACGCCAAGCAAGAGCTTCTTTGTTGTGAGGGATGCCCATCCAGCAGAGCAGCAGCAGCAGCAGCGGGAGAGAAACAGAGCAAGAGCGAGACAGAGCAGGGACCGGGCCGAGTAAAGTAGAGGGGGGAAAGAGAGAGAGAGAGAGAGGGGGAGGGGGGGGGGCGCCGCAGCGAGATGGAAGCGTCGATAATGACGCGCGCGTTTACTTGTGTAACTAGCCACACATGTGTGAGTACAGTGTCCCTCTCCCCTTCCCCCACCTCTCTCTCTCTCTCTCTCTCTCTCTCTCTCTCTCTCTCTCTCTGCGAGCGACCACTACCAGACTGCTTACTGCAGTGTAGCCCTTTAGTTTGTACTGTCAAATAAAAATTATTTCAATTTCTCTCACTCTCTCGCTCTTTGTGTCTTTCTCTCTCTTTGCTCTGCTCTCTTTGCCTGATCGTGTGACGTCTGCGCGCGGCACGGTGTTGGCGCTATGCACACACAGGCCAAACCTTTAGAGGCGCTTAGCGGCTCTCTCTCGCTCGCGCGCGCGCGCCCGCGGTAAGTCGTGTCGCTGTTCAATAATTCCAGACGCAGTTGAGAGTCGTCGCTCTTCATCGCCGTGTCAGGGGTGCGCCTGGCCGTGCCGTACCATCGATTACAGAGAGGGCCCCACAAAGAGCAGGGAGGAGGACGAAGAGGAGGAGGAGAGAGAGAACTCGACCGGGCGAGAGAGAGAGAGAGAAGCAGCGGCAGCAGAATGGGGGGGAAGAAAGAAAAGAGAAAAGAGAACGAGTGAGTGACTGGGGGAGGGACGAGGCGGGTGAGGAGGGAGGGAGGTGCTCGTCGTAAAACATCTCGGTTGTAGCCACATATTTGTGGGGGCTCGGCGGGGCGGGGCGCGGGGGCAGAGGGGCAGGGCAAGCTTGCAGCGTGCTCGCAGGTCGTTGTGCTGCCCGGCCAATAGTGTGGGGACCATTCGTTAGGGTGGTGGGGACCGGCGGAGGAGGAGGAAAGGGGCGAGAGGGAGAGCCAGGGCGGGAGAGGCAGAGGGAGAGAGAGAGAGAAGAGCTAAACGGTCGCTAGGGCTGCTGGATAATCGCGTCTGCTGCAGGAGCCAAACAAAGGAAACAACTACACTCGCGCTATCTCGCACCCTGCGCGTGCGCGGGCCTGGCCCGCGGCGAGCTCCTCGCGCACCAGTTATTGCCACAAATTAATCATCTCTCTCTCTCTCTCTCTCTCTCTCACTGTCTCTCTCACACGATTATTGATCTTCAAATCTGTTTGCCTCTACTGTTAATTCAGCCAGCGATTTAGTAATGTACTACGACCACCACCCCGTGACCTAAGCGTATAATGTCGCTTTTAATGCGAACAGTGGTGTGTGTGTGTTTCGGCCCCGCCCCGCGCTTGCGGCGGCGGCGCTGAGCTGCACAGCCCTAGGGGTCTCTCTGCTGGGCTGGACAGACAGACAGGATGGAAGGGGGGCGGCAGGTGGTGGCATGAGCTGCGTGCTGTAGTGTGTCTTTATACAATGCGTCACCGCCGGCCCGCTCCACGCCGCTCCACACCGCGCCACGCCGCCACCGCCAAGCTCTACAAGCCGCCCATTGACAGCTTTGGCCTACATTCAGGGGGCAGAAGCCGGCAGAAGCGGCGCGTAGCGCGGTGAGCATACCGACTGCTGGGCAACAGCTCAGCGCGGGCTTGCTTACTCTTACACTAAAGAGAAAGAAAGAAAGGGGGGAGAAACAGAGAGAGGGAGAAACGGAGACAAAGAAATAGTTTGTCGAGTCAGCTATAGGCGCTATGATGTTACTCATTTTATTCTCCCTGTTCATTATTTCCCCACCCTCCCCTCGCGCGCGTGGCTTGAGTGCGTCTTTAACCCGCCGCCCCCGCCGCACTATGCCGCGCTACATGCCGCCACTGCCGCGCCACCTCACTCGAATACATATATAATCTTTCCGGAGCGCGACACCGCGCGGGCGTGGCGTGGTGGGGCGTGGCGGGGCGTGGCGGGGTGGGGCG